GATGGTTCTTTAATATTAAGATTGCGTTTATCCACATGTATGCGGTTTCGAAGAAAAGTACAAACGCGAGCAATATATATATTGCCGCTAAATGCAGTCAATTCATGGAATGAAATGGAATGCTCAACAATTTTAATAACACCATTCTGGGGATATGCGGAACCATAAGTGCTAAATATTGAGTGTTTTTTGAACCTTAATACCTAAAAGTCCTTGAAAGGATATCGAAACTGTGGGTGGAGAAATCGATTTATTCCCGATTTTCAATTTTACGACTCATCAAATTTACGAATTTTTATTAATTTGCTTGAGAACTTTTCCTGCAGTTTTGCTCAAATACTCATCTACTAACGTTTTGCAAATATGTGCTCATGTTTTATCCCTTCTCATTGGCTCACATGATCCAGAGGGAGGCTCTAGGTCTATAGACAACCACTCCAAGGTTACAGTCATGCAATACAGATAGGTATACATGAAAAAATCCAGCTACCACGACATCGTTCACCACCTTGGAACTCAGTTGACTGACCGGCTGAGTGTATTTAAAAGTTTATAGTGTATATGTGTGTCGAAATATACCGGACTAGCGGGAATTACATTTGGGCCACTGCTATGAGATTGATCAGTAGCACAACTAGGCAAATGGTTTATTATTATTACGATAAAATCCATTAGGTAATCCGCAACATATTTCCTAATTTCTGATATTCCCTTTGTTTCTGTTTTTCTCCAGTCGTATTGCATAATTAAGCCAAATAAGTGGAGTGAGCTACTGAAACAATCGTTGTAAGGCTAGGCCACTGCAATTAGTGCCTAACAGAAATTTGTAAAGATAGACACCACCGTTGTTAATCTTTTGCTTTAGCTAATCACTCCTGCAGTGGCGTCCATGACAGCATGTGTAAATAATATAGAACCGGCTCTGAGTCATTCAGGTAAGCAAAATTTAGTAGTAAAGCTTTTTTTAGATTTCGATTAGAAGTACTAACTGACTTAAATACAAATTCTTGTTTTTCGTGGCACTTCATCTTTTTGCAATTGGTACAATTCACCTGGTAGAACATTGAAAGCTCTACTGCACTAACAGCATAGGTGGCTTTTCCTAAGAGGAATTTTCCATCACGTCTACATGAATGCACTTTTCGGTAAATGCGATGACTTGATGTCCAATCGTGATAAATTTGTAGGAGTAGCTGAATATGCTTAATGACTCCACGCCTAGCTTGCTTGCTTTCTTATATTTTTTGTTTATCCTATATACATTTCTGTGATTTTGTGATTTGCCTGATTGTGTGTTGTAACGGCAGTCAGCAAGTTGATGCCAAGAAGTGTACTGCTGGACTTAGGCATGTGGCTGGGTTTGTCACATGGTTGTGGTGCAGGAGGTGGGTGAGGAGGTGGATGCGTCAGCAGATTTTTGACTGCTAGTCACTTCAGGGCTTAATTATTCTGTTACATTACAGGAGACCTTCTTTTGTTGCTTGTAGGCCAGTGGTCCTATGACCAGCTATGGACACGCGTGGTGGCTAATACATGTTCCCTACACCGAATCCGGCTCAATAGGGGAGTAAACTGCGGACCCACCAGGATAACCAAAAAGGATCATTCACGGCCCAGTCAAGTATATTTTCAGTTGCATGGAAAATAGATAAGTGAGATGGTAGAACTGGACGTGGTACTCATGAAATAATGGACGGGGCGGCGGGAGTGGGGAGAAGATTCGCCATCATTATTTAAGAGCCACTTTTCCTCAAAAAATATTGATAACGTCTGCAATTTTTGCCTTTTTATAAGGCACTCTACAAAAAATGTGTTTATGTATATGCGTCCCGATTTCTTACAATGTAAATTGACTCAATACTTATGCCTTATTGTCAATAGTCAGAGCCATGTTAGGAGAAGTTTGTGAACAACAACAACAGCATCCCCAACTTTATGCACACTTTTATTGCCTGCTATCAAACGAAAAATCGTCTTTACTCTTACCAAATTCTTAAGTAGTCTAATGAAATTTTGCTTTACCGCATTCAAAAATTCTGCTTTACTGCATCTAGCTTCCTAGGGAGAAGAATATTTTGGTATCGAAGTGTAGATTTTATAATATTAACGCATCGGTTTACATGGTCACGCATTAGTTGTTAATAGGTCCAAACTAAACGCACTTTGTTTTATAAATATAGAATAGGTATATTCTATGGTCAAATGGGCAGATCTAAGCGTTGTAAGAAAGCTGTTTACCACTGCTAAGCTAGCGGTATTTTACAAAATACTGAATCTGCTCTAGAGCAAATAAAGAATGGACAATCGCTGTGACATACAACCGGAGATTATGTTATCGAAACAAAGGTTTATTGGGTCTTTTTTCAAAAATGTATATAAATTTCCCCTTGTCGCCACTGATAACATTCGTTTGCTTTGCACAATTTGTACAGTTCACTCCATACTCTGCTACAGACTTCCCAGCATAGGTCGCATTGTTTGCTGTTTATAGATAAAAGAAACATACAATCATCATATGGAGCTCCTTGATGTGTATAACAACGGAAATGACTGTGTTTAGTTTTTAGCTAAATGCAAATGGTAATCTCCTTCAGTTACTTGTTTTTGTTCCAGAATGAAGGCGTAAATAAGAATACTACTCCCCAACGCAGAAGAGGCATTTTGCAGGTCATACGTAGATCGAACATGTACATGCATTATCGGCGGTGCCATGTCACCAAGCCAGGTAACTTCTAAGGGAAATGTTTGTAATCTCTACCTATTCTCCGTGAACAAACATTAGCTTCCCTAACCTTAATTTGTCTTAAGCAATGCATGTCATACATGGAGCCTATGTGCTGCTTGCCACTTTAAGACCATTTGCTTTGATAGCAAGTTTTGAGTCTTTCCTTGATTTGGCAACTCTTTCACGCGAGGAATTATCTACTCACAGTAGAGAAGTATGTTTCCTCATTCCTGAATCTGCTCCATCCAGAGGGTAGGGAAGATTTAGGAATCGCCGTCTTTACCAGTCGGCTGCCCCCATAATGATTCAGCGGGCTAGAGCATGCTTGACACCAAACTAGAGACTTCAGTAGAGCCTTTTCCAATCTCAGCAATTTATGCCAGTCTCACAATATTTGTTGTGTTCGTGTTTACTTTTACAGACACTTCCACCTCAAAACAAAACCCGAGACGCAAAAAGTGTCCAATGTTGATGGGAAGGGATCACATGATATCACCATAGCTTTACTAGAGATCGTGAAGAGCGTTATGTAGAAAAGCGAGGAACTAGAATTAAGGCATTGTGGTTAGATTCATTTTGAGTAATCGGTAACCATTACCAGAGTAAAAATTGCAGAAGTCCAGCACGGAGCTCTCCTAGCCATTGGAAGCAGATAAGGATGCGTTTGAAGCACGTTGTAACGGGATTTTGTGTGCATGCAATTTAAGTTATCAAATGTATATTCTTTGCAACGCTAAAATTTAAATCGACAATTTTTGACTAGGAGGACAACCTTTTGGCAGGTCTGCCAAGTTTGTCCTCCTGCAGTTAAGGTGGTATACGGAGTAGTCAATGTTAGGTAGTAATTGATTGCCTATGCTGAACGAAACGAGCTAAGACTTTGACGTATTTTATATCATCGTTACATCGCTGTTAATATTGTTGTACGCGAAACGCTTTATTAATTTATTATTATTCAGCCCCAGTTAAGCCTTTACGCACTATATTTAAGTAGCAATTATTTTGGCGCCTCATTGTCGCCTGCCTAGGGCAAATTCAAAGCGAAATCAATGGGCAAGGTCCCAGTTAGGAGGTTCGTTATTTTGTTTTCCGTACAGTTTCCAGAAGGTGATGTGCTCTCTACTTCAACCTATAAAGCGCAAGTCCTGATCATGGTATTCG